AAGATCAGAAACACACATGGATGGAAGATGCAGACAGTTGTGTTGCTCATAATGCCCTGGAGTATGCCCAAGCCATTTATGCCTATGCCTTGCAAGTCTTCCCGAGCAAGAAGGGTGTGTGGCTGCAAGCAGCCTACTTTGAAAAGAACCATGGAACCAGAGAATCTTTGGAGGCTATTTTGTAGAGAGTTGTTGTTCACTGTCCCAAAGCAGAGGTGCTATGGCTCATGTGAGCCAAATCCAAGTGGCTGGCGGGAGATGTGCCAGCAGCCAGAAGCATCTTGGCCCTGGCTTTCCAGGCCAACCCCAACAGTGAGGAGATCTGGCTGGCTGCTGTGAAGCTCAAGTCGGAGAACAGTGAGTATGAAAGAGTGAGGAGGCTGCTGGCAAAAGCTCGCAGTAGTGCTCCCACAGCAAGGGTCTTCATGAAGTCTGTGAAGTTGGAATGGGTGCTTGGGAACACTGCTGCAGCCCAGGACCTCTGTGAGGAAGCCCTGAAGCACTATGAGAGATTCCCCAGTGGATGATGAAAGGACAAATTGAAGAACAAAAAGAGCTGGTAGAGAAAGCATGGGAGGCTTGTAATCGTTGAAGTGCCCCCATTCCATACCCCTGTGGCCTTTGCTGTCCAGGCTGGAGGAGAAATTTGGGCAGCTGACTAGAGCAAGAGCTGTCTTGGAAAAGTCTTGCCTGAAGAAGCCAAAGAATCCAGACCTCTGGTTGGATTCTGTACATTTGGAGTACCGAGCTGGGCTGAAGAACATTGCTAACAGTCTGATGGCCAAGGCACTGCAAGAGTGCTCCAGTTCAGGAATCCTGTGGTCAGAAGCAATTTTCCTTGAAGCTGCAACGAAAGATCAGGAGTGTGGATGCTCTCAGGAAGTGTGAACATGACCCATGTGTCCTGCTGGCTGTGGCCAAGCTGTTCTGGAGCGAGCACAAAATAACCAAGGCCAGAGAGTGGTTCCACCACACAGTGAAGATACTCTGACCTGGGGGATGCCTGGGCCTTCTTTTAGAAATTTGAGCTCCAATATGCACGAAGGAACAACAAGAGGTAGGGAAACGCTGTGAGAATGCTGAACCTCACCACAGAGAGCCCTGTGATGTCTGAAAGGACATGGAGAACTGGCAGAAAAAGACCGGAGAGATTCTTGTGCTTGTGACAGCCAAGCTGAAAAATACATTCTGGAGTGTGCTGGCCTTAGTTGCCTCAGAGGTCTCTCTCTGTAGGACTTAACCTGCCCTTTCAGTGACACAGATTTTGAAGGACAGTGTTGGGGGCTAGGTCTCCTTCCTTTTGTTCCTTTTTACTTACAGAATTTTTTCCCTTAAGTTGCTAGGAAACATTAACAACTGGGTACTTAAGAAAAACTAAAGAGGTGACCAAGCTCAGGGGAAGAGGGCATTTGGTTACATTTCTCTTATCTGGGAGTTTCTCTCCGAGTGGAGAATTTGGCAGGTAAAGGACAGAGCTCGGGCAGCTCTCACTCTCTTTTGGCTTTGGAGGAGGATGGTCAGAGCTGCTCCTTGGGGAAGGGAATTTGTTGCTGTTGCTGGAGCCCAACCCAGACTGCTTCTTCTGCTGTGGAGTAAGCCTCTGCTTGTGAGAGCAGCCACTGAACTGGGACCTTATTAACACCTCACTAAAAAGAGGGACCTATCTTCATCTGCTTGGGTGCCTGGGATCCTGAGCTCAACCCTTTCTGTCCTGCTGGGAGCCAGGCTCCTCTGGGCCACCCTCACTGCCTCTTTGGCACTGCTCCGAGCTTTCACTGCACGGTAGCCCTACACCCCCTGCCTGCTGAGACATCCTGTGGTTCCAGCCACAGCTCTGGAATAACTTCTGATACATCTCCTCTACCACTCTGGGATTTTTGCTCATTCCTGCTTGCTGCTTCTGATAGTCCTGCTGGGGCACTGGGATCAGCTGCCCTGGGGGTTTCTGAAGGCTTCCCTTCAAAGCACTTTCTGATCCAATCTGTCAGAGGAGATCCCCTCTGAAAAGCCAAGCCCTAGGTCAGCACACAAGTCCTCTGGACTGTTTGGAAATACAAAATTCAGTCTTTGCTGGTTGTATATGGAACAGGGAATTCTGCAATCAATAAAAACCAAACCAAGCCATGAGTCCCCATCCCAAGTGCTTTCACTAACACATCTTACCCAATATCCTGGGGTGACTTTATGATGCTTGTATCCCCAACCATCTGTTCTGTTTATGCTGGGTATTAAGTTTTGCACCTTTAAGGCTGGTTCCAAGATTGAAGAGGGTGGCAGAAGAAGCATGCGGTTTGTTATCTGAAACTGCACGAGCTCCCCACATCCTGCTCCTGGATTCTGTTGTCTGCAGAATGGACAGGGGGACAGAGCTCTCTTTTGCTTTTAGTTAGTTTTTAGCTAGCTGAGGCAGAGAAGTTCCCTGGATCGTGGCTTTTCATTTTCTTGGAACTGTTCAAAACTGCTTTGGACCAAAATCTCAGAAGAACACTGGGAGTTCACACCTGTGGCCCAGGAGGGCTGGGACACTGCATTCCAGTGCCAGAGGGACCGAGAGACACCTAGTGAGCTGAGCTACACCCCACAAAAAGAATTTTCTGAATCTGCCATCACTTCAGAATAAAAAGAGGTTTTATTGTTTGGTGTTGTTCATTTTTTATGTTTGTCAGTGCTTTGCTTGTTAAATAAACTTTTTTTCCACTTTTCTTCAAGGACATCTTTTCCCAAACCTGTTGAGGCAATTTGCCTTAAACTAGGACACCCACCCTGATTAGCAAAGTGCACGTGCAGCCCATGACCACCTTTGGAAGAGTTCAAGGGATCCCAAAGAGACCAAAATAGAAGCAATTTTGGCACGAACACACACAGCATACCTAGCAAGTGAAAGGGGATAAAGTAGCCTTATATAAGTACCACAAACTAAATACAAGTATTTGTGAACCCACTTGCCCTTAATAAGGGAGGGGGAGAAGTTGTTCTGGGAGTCCTTTTCACTCCGCTGGTGTGACATGCATGAGGCCTGGCTACAACAAACACTGGAGTTCATCTTGGTTATTTGGCTTCTGTACATTGGAAAGATCCCCTGGGGAGCTGAAGAAAGCATTACAGAAGTGCTCTCCCTTGGGACTCAGGGTGGAGTGTGGCTCAGGGCAGACCAAGGGTGCACATAAGTCTCTGGAGTGGGAGAGTGAGCCCAGGTGTCCCAGAATGGCAGAACTGTGAGCCCTGAACTTGGGGCCTTTCCCTACTTCAGGCAGCACCTGTTTGACATGAGCACCTTGTTGGGGTTAGGTTCATTTTCTTTTGTTCCTTCTTACCTATAGAATTTTTCCCATAAGTTGCTAAGAAACATTAACTACTAGGTACTTACGGGTACTTCAGGAAAAACAAAGAAGTGGTCAAGCTCAGGTATCTGGTAGCACTTTTCTCATCTAGGGGGGATTTCTCTCCAAGGAGCAGAGATACCATGAGAATTGGGCAAGTAAAGGGGTGAGGGCAGTGGCTAGTCTCACTCTCTCCCTCTCAGCATCAGAGGACAGTCAAGCTGTTTCTTACTGCGGGGAGGATTCTGTCCTGTACTGCTTCTTCCTTTCTGGGGTGAGCCTTCTCCTTGTGACAGCAGCCACTGGACTGAGACTTTATTGACACTTCCCTCACTAAAAGAGGGACCTGTCCCCATCTGCTTGGGTGCCCGAGATCCTGAGCTTGCCCCTCTCTGTCCTGCTGGGAGCCAGGCTCCTCTGGGCCACCCTTGCTGCCTCTTTGGCACTGCTCCGAGCTTTCACTGCACTGTAGCCCCTCAGCTCCTGCCTGCTGAGACATCCCGCGGTGGCAGCCACAGCTCCGGAAAAGCTTCTGATACATCTCCTCTACCACCACAATGAGATTGTTTTACTCATTGTTTTCTGAGAGTCCTGTGGGAGCACCGGGATCGGCTGCCCCTGGGGTTTGTGGAGCAAAGCCTCCCTTCCCATCTGTCACTGCCTGCTCCCTGAGCACTGCAGCGCCCCCCACAGGTGCAGGGGCATCACCACACCCGCCCCACCCAGCCAGGAGCCAGCAGCGCCCCTGCTGGCTGGAACTGCAGCAGAGGGGGCAGGACTGGGTTGCTGTTCTGAGTGGGGTTAGAGCTGTGCTGCTGTTGTTTGTTTGCTTTGGTATACACCCTGGTAAAGAACTGTCATTCCTGTCCTCATATCTTTGCCTGAGAGCCCCTTAATTTCAAAAATTATAACAATTTGGAGGGAGGAGGTTTACATTTTACATTCCAAGGGAGGTTTCTGCCTTTCTTGGTAGATACCTGTCTTTCAAACCCAAGACACACCTGCATCAGGTGTACCAGGACTTTCTTTTCTGAAAGTCATAAACAAATTTGAAAACAGTAAATTGTCAAAGCTTGCACTTGAAACAGGTGCACTTTGCACAGGCAGAGTACATCCCAGTTCTCTGTGGTATCCTCTGTACTGCCATACCTCCTATACTGGGAAGAAAAACCTATCCTTTGTGCCACCATCAGTGCTGCTGCTGCAGCCTACACAAGCATGACGTGCACAAAAGAGAATTTAGGTGAGTTTGTGGGACACCTCTGTGGGCTGTTCAGCTTGGGCTCACGTGTCTGTATGACAAACATTCCTACTAATGGGGTGGGTCTTCCAGGTATCTACCACATATTTGACACCAGATATTTAACCAACCACCAAAATCCCAAGGGACTCTGACTTCAAGCTTTTGAAACCTCTTCTCTTCTCTGTTGCCCATATGTGGTCAGAAGGTCTCAGTATCACCCTCCAAGCAGAACAAGCTGGTAAGAACCTAGCTGCATGGCTCATTTTCTTTACTATCCCAAAACTGAGGTGCTTTCTACTTGGGTTGAATTGTCATCAAAAAGGTGGGAAGAAAACCCAACTCAAGCCTGGGCAGAACTGCAACTCACACCAACTCTGGGTAATGAGCAGATTATTACAGCATTTCTCTACAGCAACAGAAGATGCTGGACTCCAAACTGGTCAAAAATCTGAGCAAATCTTTACTGTAGCTACAAGAGAACAGTCTTGGTGCTGCCTGACGTGTGCCTTAACATGAGATTGGTCAGGGCACTTGTCTGTTCAGCTGAAGTAGAAGCTATTTGATGATTTCAGTACTATTAATCCTATTCTGCTTCTTGCTATAATATCCTGGGAAAAAAGAACAGCATGGCTGGCTTTGATATTCTAAATATTACAGGATCTGCAAGCAAATCAATACAGAAGGATCGCTTCAGTGCAGTAACTAAGCGCAGTGTTGTGCCTCCTACACTGGTAAACTCCATTTTGGGCATCAGGCCCGGAGAAACCATGGGCAACAGCAAATGTAGAGAGTTAGAGAAATCCACCTTTCCTCCCTCTCCCACTTCTGGGAATGACCCTTCAGTTCCCAGGGAGCTCCTCAGCTCTCCCAGTCAGGCTCCCACTGCATTCACTTCATGCATTTGTCCGTTTGGTGCTCTCTCCTCTTTGTTTATTGGCAAAAACAATCTCCTCCTTTACATGATCTTGGAGCTAATATCTCTCTTACTGATCAGAACTTCCAGCAGCCTCAGCTTGGCCTTAACCTGCTTGTATTCATTGTACTCTTCAGCCATGGGAGTGCGGTCTTCTTTCTGCACATTCCTAGTGGGAGTGAAAGCAGACCATGAAGATTTCTGTAACAGGAAGCCTCCCTCTGTCCACCAACAAGACCTACAAAGCAGCTCCTCTCCCCCACTCCTGATCAGGGAACAAGACCAAAACATGTATCCTTTAGAGAAAAAAATAAACAAACAAAAAAGAGGCAAACAAGCTTCTCCAGCAAAGTGTGGGATGGTTGTATGCTGAGACTGAGCACAACCCCACAGTTCTAGATGCAAAATCCTACTTGAAACATGCCCTGCTTCTCTGAAGTCACTATCTCTGCAAAACAGCTGGAAAACACTTCAGGAGCCTTCTGAGTGTCAGCCTGTGAGCCTGGAAAAACAAAATACAGCCTCCCCTGTTTTGGCATCACAGCACTTACGCCAACAGGTGCACTCATGTAAACAAAGATGGCATTTGATCAGATTTGTCTTGGCTTACAGAAAAATTTTAAGTGTCCAGTGATTTTACAAAAGCCCCTAAGGATGATGGCTGGTGGCAAGAAAGAGACAAGGTAATTTAAGTCTATAAATATATGAAAACATTCTATCAGCTTGATAAGGAGGGACATTTTCTTAAAACAATAAAACCAGTTACACTAAAGCAGAAATACTTGAAAAAACTAGTGTCTGAATAGCTCACAGATAAGCAAGAATAGGACAGAAATCACTAGGGAAAAAAGGAGTTATTTTAACATTGAATAACTCTTCCACCATTCTGAATGTGGGTAAAGCAATGATAATGATTGTGAAGAAGAAATACATAATATTGAATTCAGGTAACTTTCCAAATTTGGAGAGCTCTGTAGATGAAAAACAGATTAAAAGTAGCTGAAAAACAGAGAGGCAGCTGAAAAATTGTTACCTTCCATTTTGTTGGAAAAAGTTATCTTCAAAGTCTCTCAATTTTTTTCTGATTCGCTTTTTCTCTTCCCTGACTTCTTGGAGCTGCTCTAACAGTTCAGGGCTGTTGGGTTTAAAGATAAATGAGATTATCCATATGTATGCAGTAAAACCAGGAAACATACAGTAGACCTACAGATGTTTAGTTGTATGCATGCCAAACAACAGAGCTGCTCCTGCAAGCAGCTCTGGTAGCCTCACATTACTTAAAACAAAAAGTTCTCTGAATTTAGTTTAGCAAAATGATCAGAGTCTTAAGCTGCAGCTTCTAAGGAGGTCAAGTGTGCACTTCACAATTCACCACTAACTTCTGTGAAACTTATCTCCTGCAGATGGGTCTGTGTTTGGTGACTTTTATAGGAACAAATTCAATGGTCACAACTTAGAGCTACCACCCACATGTGTTTGCACCAGACTTGAAACTAGCAAAGCTAGAAGCTAAGTTCCACTTGACCTTTCAAAACATGAAAAACCTTCTGGAGTGCAGGGTTTTCATGATAAAGGCTTGCCTCTGGTGGAGTTACTATTTAGAGATGGAATCCAAAGGTGCATAAGCTATGTATCAGTATCAGGACAAGGTAGTTTCTTTCCAAAACATTTCTATGAGGGTGTATTGCATTTAAAAATGAAACATGAAAACTTATGGCTCAGATCATAAATAGAAAAAAACCTTAGACAGTTTTCTGACAAAATACTATCTTAGCAAGAAATAACTTTTTGCAGTTGCCTGTGAATTCAACGTACATGGATGCTTCGTGGAGATTTGAAATCCCCATATCCTGACTGCTCCTAGTTGGCATCTTATCATCCACTGGGGAAACAAAGCCATCAGCATCATCTTCTAGTTGATCCAAGAAGCTGCGCACACTGAAATCTGTTTTTATGGTAATTGTGAGATCCGGCTTCACATTGCTGTCCTCCTCAGACCCCTCCTCTTCTTCCTACACACAGGGACAGAGCACCCCCACAACAAGACAGTTATTGCTTCCCTTCTCAGAACAGGCTCCTCCTCTCACCACATGCACTCGGGAACAAGAAGTGGAAAAGCAGAGCAAAAACTTCCATTGCCAAGCAATACACAGGACACCAGAAGACCATCAGTAAGACACCCTAGAACCAAAGCATGACAGAGAAATTGCCACCACAAACTAGGTTGGTTAAGGAGACCCAGAGTGACACAACTGAGAGAAAAAAAATACTTGGGGTTCAGAGCAACCTGTTTCTTCGTTTAGCTTATGTATTCTGACATAAATGAACCCATTTACACTTGTTACACATATTATTCAAAGCACACCAGCCATCCCCTGCATTTCTCTGCAAACATTTCCCAGCATAGACACTGCCAGGTTAAAATGTGGAATTTTCTCTCAAAAGATACAGCTCAACAGCACTCCCTAATAGCTGAATTCAAGACCTCAAATGCTCATACAGTGAGCTCAGATGAGTTTCACAATTATGCAAATGTGGGATATGATTGAGTGTAAAAGGACTGCTGCTGCTAACATGTTCAAACATTAGCTCTGACTTTGCTGGAATACACTGAAAATTGGTCTAGAAACTCATCACAGTGCAATTTCCTATTTCCTCGATGCACACTGATGAATTGGTTGTGTTCAAATTTTTTTACAAAATTTATAGGCATGAGATATGAAAGTCCCTGCTGCAGTTGGTATTCACCAATTCACTGTGTTCTCAAAAGTAGGGCTTGTCCTGAGACACTGTCCAGAAATAATTATCAGGAAACGAGGCTCAGTCTCTTATGTACGGAGACCTTTCTAGAAGGCAGTTTTCAACCTTAATATAAGGAATGAGGCTTCTTAGAGAAAGCAGGAAATGCCAGCATGGACAGTAAATATGTATGTATGTGTGTGAAAATGTATTTATTTTACAGCCATGTAACTCTAGCCAGGAAGGATCTAAGCACATGAATATCTTCAAAAGCTTTTTGGGGCTAATATTACTGAAGTCTTTAAGACAAAAATATATTGTAGCACCAGGATCAAAAGTAGACATTTTTAAATTTTTAAATTTTGTTTTTTCCTTGTGAATAGTTCAAGTATTCCTAAGAGACTGGTCCCACATTTCAAGCAAAAGGTAACACCAAGACCTTAGTCCCGTTAAACCCTCAGTGATTTATAAATGCATACGTTTAAATTAAATTATAGCTTGCACAGAGTTTTCTTTTTACTTTAAAGCTCTAGATCGCAATGATACATCTCAAAGCCACAGGCTGAAAATTACAACCAAGACTGAGGGTGGAGGGTGAAGAAAACATTATCTGGGAAGAAGTTTTGAGTAGCAATAATAACAGAAGATATATTATATATATATTTATATATAATATTATATTATTATTTATATTAGAATATATATATATATAAGATATAAAAAAAAGAAGTTTGAATTCTTCTTAGGAAAACCTGCAGGGAACTTGTGGAAGTTGAAGCAATATTTGGCACATGATTAGACAAGACCCATTTCTCCAGACATCAGCTGTACAGTTTAAACAGAAAGCACAAATCAGCAGCCATATACTGTTCTTAAACCCTGCCAACAACTCCAGACTGAACTGGGGAGGGGAGACCATCTTTCACTGCCATTACCCTTTCCCTAGGCATGCCACCCTGTCCAGACCGATCCTGCTGTGCCATGGAGGAGGATTTGCTAACTCAGTCTAAGCAGTAAAAGCAGCACACTTTGCTTTAGAGGAATCTCTGGCAACAAAGGAGGAGCTCCCATGCCCTTTTCTGGGAGAGCTCCTGGAAAGAAAGCAAAGGGACAATTTCCATGAGCAGTGTGACAAAGCTGCTCCTGAGGACTGATGCAAGGTGTCTTCCTCCCAGATACCCATGAGCCTGTCTTGCCTTGCTGTAGACACCAGCATGCTGCCCAAGCCAGCAAGCAGCTCAGGAGCCAGCCTCCTGCCACGGGAGGCCACAGGAGGAAAAGAAAGCATAGAAATTTCATCTGGACCTCAGAGCCAGCACACTGCACCTGGTTGTCACAAGATCTCTGAAATAATTTTACTCTTTAATACAAAGGAGCGGATTGAAGGATTCTTAGACAGAACTCCAACAGAAAAGGCCCTCTAAGGCCTTCCCTTTCAAATCTCCCAAGGAACATCACTTGAAACCTGCAGCAACATTTACACCTTGAACCAGAATGATCTTCATACATGAGATTCATTTAGCATGCACCTGCTTAGATTGCTAGGCAATTATGAGGCATCCCAGAGTTACAAATGTCAAATCCCTAGAGTATCCTATCTTCGGTACTCCCACAAAGCAAGAATCCTAATGATTTTTCCAACACAACACTCAAGATATTGTACCAAAATGTTTGCTAAGTCACCTCAAAACACCTTTCAAGTTTTTAGTCAACTCTCCCAAATGCTTCAAAAAAAAACCTCACCCAGAAACACACAAATACTGACATTGTCAGTGGCCTGTCAAATATTTCCCTGCCCATAGTGGACCTATGCAGGAACTAAGTTTTGGGGCCTTTTGCTAATTTCCTCTCTTTACTTCTGAGTGTAGTTCAGTATGAAGCTGCCAGGTGCAGTTTCATAGAGCCCCATTTAAGTGTTAATAGGCACATCATGTTAGCAAGCTTAAGGCTGTCATCCTGATCTTCTGCCAGAAACCCTCCAGGTCTGTATTCCCTGCAGGACATTGCTGGACTGGTTTGGTGCTGCCCGGCACAGCACCAGCCCGTGGTGGCCATCAGGGATCACCATAATTGACAGCTCTAAGTTCTCACACTGGGTGCAAGCAGAGGTGGAGAAAAAATGACACACTAAAAGAAAAAAACAGAAGCAAATTCCCAGACCGGTACTGCAGATTTGATCCAGCAGTTATCTAGAAAATACTAAGAAGCTCAGTGATCATTAACCAGCTTTCAAACAGCAGCTTAACATCTTCAATCTGCAATCTGGTATTAAAGAATATGTGCCTCAAATAGTCCATTAATATACAATCCACTGGACTCAATCACCTTAGATCTCTAAGTCTGCAGTACTTACATTTAACCAAGCTCTGGTGGGCAACTGAAATATGACCCAATGTGCTGAAGCACTTCTCTCCCTTGTTACACTGCAAGGGCACAGAAAACAAGCCAGGGCCCAGCTCCACACTGCGTGTCCTGGTCAGCTGTTGGACTTTGCTATGATACTGGGCCTTGCCCTGAGAAATAATCTTCCCCACCCCAAATTATTACTCCACAGCAGCACAAGAAGAAAGACAACAATCCTGCCATCCAAATCTGACCAAGTATCAACCAGCAGAACCAAGCTGTTCTTACTTCCATCCTTATTAATTTAAAAACACCCTGCACAAGGTGGTGAAAAAGAGCCTGGATAAAATAAGTGGAGGGGATCAGGTAAGGATCCTGTAAGTGGCCTGGCTGGCTCCATGTGCGAGGGTTAGTTTTGTGAGAGCTCATTCCTGCCATGGTGCTGTGAGCAAGCCACAGAGCCTGGGAGTGAGAGAAACTACTACAAAACAAGTTAGTTTCTTGTAAAAGAAAGGAGGAAAGCAAGATAAAAAGTAAGATACAGGGCTAACTGTGATTTTGAATTTTTATTTAAAGCAAAATAAAATATGTGCAGATGGAGGGGAAAGAAGAAGGATAGGAAAGAATGCAAAGCCAAGGTAACACTGTAGTCTTATCTACAACAAGGGAAGAATTTGATCAGAATTGGTGAGGCTTAAAGCAGCTACTGATTTTTCAGGAGGACACTGCAAAAAAAAATCAACACTGATGAAAAAAAAAATCAATCAACCATTCTGTTTCATTGGTATAAAGGGGAAAGTTGATGCAAACTGAGCAATTAGTTAGCAGCTGGAGGTCTTCACCTTTATCTCCTTGAAGAAGGAAGCTGTTTCGCCCTCGATAATTGGCTGCAGCAAAGGGCTTCTCCGCTTGCTGGAGGGGGAACCCTGTGACAGGTGTTAACAAGTATGTTACATTGTGAACCCCTTTCTCCTCCACCACCTGCTCTCCTCATTCTCACCCAACACACTCACCCTCAGCTCATCGCTGGACCACCAGAAGAAATATCTTTCTCAAGAAAGAAAAATAGGCCTAGAAAACCCCCTGAACCTTGGGCTGTTTTCTCTCAGGATGTTGCTTAGCAAAAGACACCACTGCCAATCTGTTTTTAAAAAGAAACTTAGATGATTATTAGCTGGGTAGTGACTACAAGGCAAAGGCTGCAAGAAAATAATCCCCAGCCTGAGGCCCATACACACACAGAGCATTTGGCTGGCTCTCCAGAGCTACACTGTAAACTCAGCCAGGCTCTCCAGATTTGCTTTCCGGGAGCCTGATTTTCCAGTGAAGTACCTACTGATGTAGAGATGGATTTTCAAATGTATCCTGTCTCTCTATGAACCTCTCACTGTTCTCACTCAGAAGACTGGGAAAAAAAAATCAGTCTCATCTCTGCTCTGCTAGCCTCTGTGGATTTTCAGTTTTGTGCTCTAACAGGACCTGGGCTCTCTTTGACAGCTTTGCATTAAACTACCCATGCACACCTACTCAGCTTCCTCCTCGACTGCCAGCACTGTCTTCACAGCACACATTTTGGGGACTATTGTGCATATTCCAGGAGGAACAACTTTTTATTTCATTTTAAATGCAGGTCCAGCAACACCTCCCAGCATTTGCAGAAAAAAGCTCCATACCTCTGTGACACTGCAATGGGTAATGATGTGCCTGCCTGTTCACTTCACTGGCTGTCTACAGAAAGTGGGCAGGACATGAGCACGGCTCAGGAAAAGCAAAAAAAGGTTTATACATGACAGAGTAAACAGGAACTTTGATAAAAGAACTCTCTTTCCATAGATAGGCTTGAAGAGTTCTGTGTGGGTTTTTTTGATTAATTAATTTTTAAAAACTGGACAACACAAACTGACCAAAATTAAAGCCAGCGAATTTTCTTCCTAGAGGGGTGTATTGGGCTCCTTGCTGGGCACCTTGAAAGAGAGTCTCTTAATACAAGTAAAGTGTTAGAAGACTGAGGGTCCTTTCTTTCAGCCAAGGACACAACTGGCATCTCCTGTGGGATCTGCTCAAGTCTGTGTTCTGTGTACAGGAACCCTGTACATACAACCCTGTGGAACCAAGCAGCATGGAAGGCCTACAGCTCAGCGTGGGTTGGTATAGAAAAAAGAAGTGAGGCTGTAGCCAAACAGATGATGGATGAAATAACAGCAGCAGCCCAATGGAAAGAGATGAAACAGTACAAGTTGAGATGTGCCCCATGGCTCACAGGTGGGCACTAAAGTCCCTTGACCAGCTTTGCCCAATGTCAGTATGAAGTGTGTCATTGATTCACTCATTTGCTTGATCTTTGAGTGGTAAGGGAGACTGGGACTTAGCCTTAGTGATTGCGTTGTATGCAAAAGTGTGGTGATTCCTGCTTCCTCAGTTTGAAACCAAAGAAATACCCCACAAAAGAGTGCTCTACTCACAATAATAGGGATGGTGTTGACTCTGGAGAGGATCTGTTTGATCAAGCGATACCTGTCATACAACGGCTTCATCACCTGCCGCTCATTTTTGGTAACCTGAAAAGGAAAAAGAGAGAAATCCATGAATCCTGCAACAAATGCTCCACTCTAGAATTCACGTGCCTGTGATCACCCTCAGTCTGTGGAGCTTGAAGAAACTTGTATGGGGATGACAGGAGCATTAACCCTGAAATTCCTGTCCACCACTGCATCACTTGTGCCTGGTGCCAGCTGAAGCTGTGTGGGCTGTCTTGTAAAGGGGCTGTAAGCCACAGGTGGTTTAAATGACCAATTAGGGATCAGGTGTCCACAGCACAAAATGACCTGCGGAGGCAGCAGTCTGTGCTTGCAGTCATGTCTGCCACTGTGAGCACAAGATGAGCTTTCCCATCCTTGTTCTTGTGGCCGGCCCTCAATAGCTGTGTTCAGGACCTGTGAAAAGAGAAAGTGGCTGCACTGACTGGCTGTTGCAATGTGAGATTTCCCTTGAGTATAGTAAACTGCAGATTTCACAACATCTGACTTTCTGGCTTTGCTATTCCTCCTAATTTCCTGTACAGCCAGCAGTTTTTCCTTTTTAGCCTCCTAACCTTGCCCTCCATCCTTCCTCACAGCCATTTTGCTGGGAAGGGTTCACTGCTTGGAAGTGATGAAGGTGCCAGGGCTGTGCGGTATAGAGAAGAGAGAATAGTGCTGTGATGTCCACTTCAGGTGTTCTTTATATGACTCTGTCCTTAACTCCACTCCTCCTTACTGCTTGTTGTGCTCCCTCCCCAGTTTTGAGAGCATTACAAACTGAGTGTGTTCATTTCTGGTTTTCTTTCAGGTTCAAGGTGGGTTTTATTTCTTCAGTGTTTTCTCACAGCAGATTAGAAAACAAACAAAATCCTCAGCAATACCTGATCATCATTCCACACTGTCTGACCCACATCCTATTAAGTGTCCTTCCATTAGATCTTTTGTCTAACTTTAGATTATAAAGCTCTTATGAGGAAGCTTTAACTGATGTCATGCCTTTCTACTTGCTGCTAATCACTAGAGCACCTGAACAACTGCCATTTAAAAATCAGCATTAACAGAGTAACCCCTAGGGAGAAAAGGGAATGCAGCTTGAGAGAGTGAGGCAATTTTAAACTGCCTTTTATTTTGTCTGCAGTTGACTTTCACTGGCATAATCTTTGTAAAGCTTTTACATCCTCCCTCCAGAGAAAGAGACTATTTTAGCTTGTGAGGGGCAGAAAGGCTGTAAGTATTGCCAGGAGAGGGATCGCAGGGATTAACTCTTAAGAATCTGGAGGTAGCATCCATCTTCCTCCTGATAGCCAAGCCTATGTCCCCTATGTTGGGGACAAATGAACAGGGAGGAAAAGGAGGAAGATCGTTATTCCTTTCTTGGTTCAATGCAAATATCCCCAGGCCTGATAAAGGGGATATAGATGAGCAGTCTTGAGCTCTGGGGACTGAATGTCCCACAGCCCCAAAGCACAGCAGGGCTCCAATTCCTAGCAGCCTCAAGCTGCCTTTTCATTGAGTAAGCAGCTCACATGGATTAGAGGGATGTGAGCTGCATGAAACAATTCACTCAGTCCTCTTTGTGTTGAGTTTTGTGTTGATGAGCCTGCACTCAATTGCACTGGCTAGCAAGTTGCCTCCAACTTTGGACATTTCTCTGTAAACCCATTCGGAGTACAACTAGAGAAACTGGGTAACCTAAATATATATATAATATTATTCCTAGCTTTACAAGATCAGCAGTTTTTGGAACAAGAGGTACAGCACTACTGTTGGCTCAGACAGTCTGTTACAAAAACCCCAAGACTATGATGAGGCTTATGTTCAGGCTGAGAATCAAACCTTCAATTAACAACATTTCAAAGCTGATTAATAGCATGGTTCTGTACAGAAAAATAAACATAAGCCTTGGAATGGGTACAAAGTCCCTAGGTATGTTGAAGAATGGAAAAGTTAAACAACATGCTTCAATGTTTGAATATCAGTGTGTATGGAGTCTGAGACTGTCCTGCAGCTCATTTACACCAGCAAACTTTACAGAAAGCATATCTTGAAAGTAAATGTTTAGGACATGGGCACACTGTCTCATTAGGTAAACATAAGTAAGACCAGTAAAGTATATTTTGGGAGAACATCAAAATGCAAAGAGACTGTTAGAATAATGGAGCCTTTGACACAACTCTGGGGCACACTCCACGTGGCAAAACATCAGCAGCTGAGAACAGACCATTGCTTGCATTGTTAGAGCAGCTCAAGAATTTCTGCAGAGACAGACTTTTGGCTTAACTAAAACAGTCCAGTTCCACCTTTGCAGGTTCATCTATCACTGGTGCAGAAAGACCCAGCTGCACAATAAATCTGAGCTCCACTGTTTTTCTTGTTTAGTTAAATATCCTTAAGGAAAAAAAAAAAACAAAACCTTGGCTGAACTATCCACATTCTCCTCAAGCTCTCAGTACTTTTCCACTGCTGCACTGCCAGGAGCTGGGAACAGCAAAAGCTGATCAGTCTTCCTTGCCATGCAGTACAGTGTTACTAGGTATAGACAGCTTACTTTAAAACAAAATAAATTAAAAAGTAGTTGTATAAATGAAGCATTGGAAAAGGTAGGTGGAAATAAAGGTATGCTGACAAGATAGGCTCTGGCTTGTTATCTTTTTGAACAGATTGAAGTGAGTTCACTTCAGTAAGATGCCAACTTTTGATTTATATAATTGTAAAAGCAGCAAAAAAAGACTTGGTCTCACAGAGAACACAGGGAAGGTTAAGTAAATTCCCTTGTGCTGCCCTTTTTCTACACAAGAATAAATCTGCCTGTCCTCTCCTGTAACTATGCCATTTTCAGTTGCTAATACAGTTGTGACTGTATAATATTAGCACTCCATGAAGGCATTTAAATAAATTAGTGAGACTTTAAAAAAACAATGGATAAAGGAAGATATAATTCGGAAGGAAAAGATCAGGAATCTCAGGAAACAACAGAATGACAGATTTGTGAGCTGCAACAATCAAGTACTCCTTACAAGCAGTAATTTGCTGCTCCCAAGCCACTGCTCAGGGGATTAGCAGCACTCTGAAATTAAGTTACTTTACCTATACAGCTGGTCACAAAGATTATAATGGCATCAGTGAAAGAGAAGGAAGGACTCATAAAAAGCCAACTTCATGGCCTGGAAGCCACTGTGTTTCTGCCACAGCAGGGATCAACAGGAGACAAAACTTAATTCTCTGTATTCACAAAAAAGTTTGCTGTATACCATTGATACCAGGAAACTTCAAACTTCCTGGCTGGATGGGCACCACACACAACTGTTCTCATGCAGACAGTCCACTGGGCCTCAAACTGGATGTCTATGGAACCTGATGAGCACAATGCCAAAATAATGGCCACTCAGCCTGTAGGCTCTGTCCTGCAGGTGTCTGTCCAGCTCAGTGCTGTGTGAGGACATCACCCTGCCTGGAACAGACTCCTCAGCAGCTGTGGAAGTGAAGGATCAGGGAGGTGCATTAGAGGGTGCACGTGTGGTTTGGAGAGCAAGAAGTTCTAGTGACCTGACATCAAAGGGGCATTAGGGGCATCATTTACCATAGACAAAGACCTATATAGATGTACTTTGAGGGAAAAAAAAAAGAAAATAAAAAAAAATGGTGCAGTACATACTGGTCTGCCATGAATGCCTTCATAATAGAGCAAAGCTTTCTGAAGAGCCACTTTTTCAGCTGCTATCTGGTCTCGTGTCATGTCCTGTGAAAAATGGCACAGAGAGAGGGAAAGGGAGGAAGTAAAGAAAAAAAAGTCAGATTCCTGGATTAAAAAATACTAATCTGTGCCACAACCCAAGTCATGTCATACGATTTTTTATTTTAAAGATTCTTCTCTACCTTCCAGTTGTCTTTTCCCAGCTACATTGCCAAAGAGACTGTTAATGTGACTAGAACCCTATGCTCAATGCAGGTAGATTAAACACACAAATTTTGCATATTAATGTATTTTATATACCTAAAGTGGGTTTACAGATTATAAGTGTTCTTTGAAAAAACAACACTATGCAACTTTTAATGCTGGTGGATCTTCTTCAGTTAAGATCTGAAATGTAAATTCTACAACAGAACACATTTCCATTCTTTTTCTCCAAATCTGAGACAAACTCCAGTACCTCTTGTAAAGCTTGTCACCTTTACTTTGACTGTAATAAACACACTTCACCAAGAACTGAAGTGCAGTCAGAATGTCTTTCTGCAAATTCTGCTATGGAGTGAAAGGCTGTAGCAGACAAGAGGGGACAAAGCCAAAGGAAAAAAAAAAGGGAAGACAGAGAAGACTTCTCTAACCAAGGTGGCCAAAATTCCTCCACTGAATTAGCCTGACACCAAGCCTTTTCTCCCTATCACAGCACCAAATACTATCACAGTTCCTCGGTAAGTGGCCAGGCTGCGGATTCTTGCTACAGTCAGAAAACAGTCAAAACACATGGTGTATGTTTTTCTTCTGCAGATCTAGCAAACAAAGATAATGCTGTCTGCCTCACTCTTATTCAGCAGTGCGTAATTTACATGTCAGCAGACTCAAGGACTTCATTTACAAGGCTACCCAGACCTCAGGAGCTCACATCAGACATGAAGACCTCCCTGCTGATAACCCTCAGAGATTACAGAAGCTAACAGACCTCAATGTGAAACTCTGATGGTTAGCAGTAACACACCCTGAGAGAATACTATTCAGTCTTGGAGTGAACAAGAAACAAACAGATGACGTAATCTCTAGCAGCACTGGAAGACTCAGAATTTGACAAAAACTTTTGGATAGAATATTGGAAATAGCCAAACACAGGGCAGGAAAAAAATTGCAATAATTCAGAAACATTACTAAGGATATGCAAGAGTCAGACAAAGACCACATGCTAACAGACAATAGAAATTGAGCTCTGGGGAAGGAAACAAGATACTAAAGAAAGAGGGAACAGAACTAAAGTAAGTGAGCCCAGACTAAAGGCTGCACATTTTTTAACAAAATGTCAAAGACCACAACACTTTCACAAGTGACTGTGCAGCCACAAGTAATCTACTTGCACTTAAAGGCCTAAATCTGACCTGGCTACCATTGTACCTTAATGTCTTCAGGTCGATTTGTCTCTGCTCTTTTCTCTTGAAGCTTCTTCTGGATGGAGTCGAAGGTCACTTCCACTGCAGGCTGGGCAGATTTATCTGACAGGTCTTGTTTCTTGTCATCCTCCTTCTCCAGCTGAGAGCCAAAGCTCTTGGGGAGTGTGTTGCTGCGTTGGCGCACAACAGGGCCAAGATCTTCCTCTGATATCTTCAGCTTTGACTCTGAGCAGGCAAAGATGAGCAATTTTTCATTTTTAAAATGTGACAGTGTCAGGATCACTCCCTCACATCAAATCTAAATGAGTCAGAGTCAAGATACTCCCCAAAAGTGCACCAGTGGTGGCTCCTCACCTTTAAGTTGCTTTCGGAATTTGGCCAAATCATTTGTCCATTTGAGCACTTCAGGGTTGGCTGCTTTGTCACTGTGGGAAGGCTGGGAGGAAAGGAAAGCCATGGTGAATCTGTGTTAAACCACCAGGAGTGATTCACTGGAACAAGTGTGTGGCACAAAGGGGTACAATGGAATTTGGACCCAGCACAGAGCACAGGAACTGGCTTCTGACTGGCAGCTGCACATCTCTGACCAGCCCATTTCAGACCTTGCTTTAATTGCTCCTGCCTGTCACAACCTCTGTCTGAGATGCATCATGAAATGGATTTTTTTTTAGAAAACACAGAATATTTGATGCCAATGATTAAGTTGTAGGAGTGACTCAGAAGGCTGGATGCACACTGGAATCCTTATGTCTATTGTTTCCTAACAAGACAGTACCCCTAAAATAGAGGAAACCTAGCATGAACAGTTGGAAAAGTGTTGACACATGTATCCACACCAAAGGCTGCCTTACATCCAAAGATATCAAATGACCCAAATTCTAGGCTACAGCAAGCTCTCAGCATTTTTTTAGCTTTTCCTACTGCAGGCCAGATCTTTCCAGTACAATTCTTTGCCATTTTGATAGCCAAAGATGTAAACATGCACAGCTTTACAGCTCCTTACAAAGCTTTCTGTGCATCAGAAGGGCATGTCAGAACAATTAAAGAGTCCAATACACTGCTACTGCTGCTGCTGCTCAGCAGCACTTGACTGTGGTTCCTTGCTCAGGAGTGAAGGCAGCTGCTCTCTTGCCTCTGCAGTGCACAGGTGTCCTGGGATTACCATCATGCAAATGAGATCAGCAATTGTGCTTCCCATATGCTGAAGTTAAATAAACAAACAACAGAAGTTGAACACAGCTATTCCTACATGTTGTCTTAAGCAGCGGTTGAAATTTTGTGAGTTCACTAGCCTTCCTCTCTTGTGCTGCATGGATATTGCATAATACCTGGAAAGGTACTTTGCTCGGTGTGCATACAGATTTCTGGGGGGTAAGCAGGTCTTCTGCCTTATTTTTTTTTTTTCCTCATTATAAAAGCTTTCAAGCCCCTCTGTATGTTTGGCATATTTCCCTGGTGTCCCTCTGTATGCTTGACCCACTTCCCTGGTGTCCCTTCCCTTTTTGCTAATGCATCCATCTTCACATAAATGCTTAACTCCTAGAGACTCACTCTGTATTTCCTCTCCTCTTCAAATTTGTCCTCAAATCTCCTGATCTTTTTCTTCAGCCCTTGAATCCTCCGGGTGAGTTGTGCAGGGGTAAGGTCTTCTCTGTCATCTTCGTAAGATCCTAAAGAGGAACTCCGTCTCCTGCCAAGAGCAGAGATTCCAGGAACAGCTTATCCAAACAACCACTGTACCTCTTGATGCAGATTAGGCCACTTCACTTTGTGTGAATAAAGGCAAGGCCCACAAAAGTGAGAATGCTATATTGCTACTCTGCAATGACAGATAGCAAAAGATGCTCTAACAGCCCTAGATATTACTGCACAAACCCAGAAATTAACTACAAAGGACCTTTTACAAAATACAGTTTCCTGTGAGTAGGGACAGAAACCCAACACAGCACAGCCGATCCAAAGACATGCTGCTTGATGCAACTGTGCAAACCCTTTGCAGCTGCATGTGAAAGTCAGCACTGGCAAACCACAACCCACCTCATGAAGGAATGAGAATTGGGAGGAGAAGGAGGCACTTCTGTATCATCCAGGTACTGCTGGCTCTGTCCATAGGCATAGAATCGAGGGGACAGCATGGGATCACTGTCCTCATCCAGCAGTTGGCGAATCAAGCGCCCGGCCTGCGGGGAAAGGTGAGCCTCATCTGAGTCTAAGCCGTCTCGCTGCCATGAGGAGAGAGCAGGGATGGGCTCTGGGAACAGTAAGACAAAGGCTGGTTTTATCAGGTTTGTTTTATACATAAGACAGACTCCAGGCAACTTTCTAATGAACCTTGACCTGCTCATCCTGACTGTGACTCTTGTCACCAGGCATTCTCTGGTCACTACTCCCACCTGCCCTGTGTGCAAAACATTACAAAGCCTGGCCACAGCAGGTAACCTACACAAATATAACTCATCTCTTAGATGCAACAGAAAACTACCCAAAAGCTGACCAGGCATTACCATGGACTGACACCAAATGAGTGCCTTTGAGGAAAAAGTTATGCTGGATAGAGAGCATTACTGGCACATGGTATATAGAAGAGGTAGTTGGATTCCAGAAGGAATTTTTTTCAGTTTCAGGATGTACAAATGCTGTAAATGAATAGTGTATTAGTGGTTCTCCTATAGGCCCCAGCACTCCAATGCAACCCTGTTGCCTGCTATTGGAAATTCAAAGCCTAGGAGTAAGCATAGGTTCTTCTAATCTGGAAGCAAAAGGTGTCTCACATTACCACCTGTTCCACAGGGTGCTTAGCCCACATATTAACAATTATAGTAAGATGGTCTGATTTTCCCCTTTTCCCTTTCACATGCAATCCTGCTGCTTACAGTATGGTAGAAAAGTGAGGAAATCTTCAGCCCCCTGAACAACCTAACCAGCCAGAAGTAAAAGCAATGTTGTACAGGGAGGTGATAGAGTGGGAGAGAAAGGGAACCCCAATTTAGTACTACTTATTAGCATAATAGAGTCCATGGAAAGCAATCACCTCAGTCTTGTGATCATTCCCTCCAGATGCCATAAGGAGTCTAACATTTTGTGTTCAGATAGTTTACTAAGCTGATTTGCATGCTCCTACTTAAACTGTCTAATCCTGTGGTGCTAAGAGCCAGGCTTTGAACTTCTAAATCTAACAAATAGTTCTAGAGTCAAGTAACAACACAAAAACGTTATAGAAAGCTCCCAGACCAGTCACAGAGCTACGGAGGAATTGTTTACTGTGCCTAATGTGTCTGTTTTTATTCACAAAGAGAGGGGGCTTCTGAACTTATCAGTTCATGAATAAAAAGCAACATTTCCTTTTGCTGAAGAAGGTTAACATTTTCAGAGCTCAGAGTGGATTTTCAGAGTAGACTGCATGAGGATTCTCCTGCAGAACCTCTGTGCTGTTTAATATTACCCCTCTGTACAATTTGGGCAGTGTGAGATCATTGCCAATGCAGCAGTGATGGACTCAGTGCTGTTTTGCTTGTGCACATCTTCAAATGATGCTCTCCTCCTTTTGCCTTCTTCCTTAGCACATGGACACAAAAGGCACACCTCTACTTAGAGGCTGGTGCTGCATGCACACTGATGTGCTACCCTGAAAGGGATGACAGGAGGTTTTTGCACAAGCTTTTTGCACAAGAGCCCCTTGAACGTGCTGTAGTAAGAGAAGCACATGCAAGCCTGGCTCACAGGGGCTACTTCCATGGGGTGTGCAAGCCCCAAGTGAAAGTAGGCTGTTCTGCCATGGTTTTGAAAGCTTATGTAGCCTGAACTTCCTTCGAGCAATTTCTGAAAAAAGAGTTTTTCAAAGCTCTGTTCAGCTTTGGCATTTTCTAATACCTGAAATATTTTGCATCTACTTCCCTGAATCTCTCATGGTTTTAGGAAGGGTCTCACAAGATCTTTTGTTGCAAAATAAAGGGTAATACAAAAGGAAAAAAAGATTCATTTATTTGACCAGCAGGAGCAAGAGTTAAATGATGCATGAAATTCTTCTAGACATCTCTAATTTCTAATTCTTTGAATACCTCTCACCTGAAAACTGAATTTCCTCTTGGAAATTGTTAAATAACACCTCCATGGGATTTACATAGATGAAATAAACTTAGAAAAAAATCAGGCATATTTAGCAGTAACTAAATTAAGCTCCTACCACATCAGCTAACAAAGCCATTATTAATCATGCATGATGTATGTGACTTAGTTGAAGCTGGATTTAAAACCAGATAGCATGCGACATTCAGGGAATTGCAATGGCTCAAAGAGCCTCTGATCAAACCCCAAAAGACAGCAAAGCACTTTATGTAACCTAATTTAGACTGTGTGTCTACTTAATATTTTGTTGATTTCAAAATACTCCCCCAAAACAGAAACTCCCATTCTAAAGAAGAAAGTGTTAAAAAGGAGAAGGAAAAAAAACACCAAACCCTAAAAGGAAAAATAAAATTTGAGACTTGACAGAAGAAATGGGTGCTACAGAAAATCAGCTTTCTTTAACCCTTGCTCCTGAAAGGCCTGACTCTATGGGTAATTTTGTTTCTCTTGCTGACTATATACATTCAGAAGACAAAACCTCAACTAGACCCAAAATGACTAGACCCCTGAGAGCAACACCGCAATTCATCAAGGAACATATTTAGATACGTACAAATTACAAATTTTATCTACATCAGATCACTAAATGGACCAGTGTGCAGTCCAACTGCCTTCCCTCTCCTGCTGGCCAGGTGCCAGGCCTTTCAGGTGGACCCACTGGAATTGCTGGATCACACAAACAGAAGGAACCCACTAATGATAAGCTGCTGCTTTTTCTGATAGTGCATAATCAATTAATTCCTCTTTAACAGGATGCATAATATCTTTTGTTATTCATGTAGCCAAGATAGCTATCAAAGCATCTAGCTTTTTCTGAAGGCTACTGAACTCCTGGACTGAATGGTTTTTAAGTATCTGCTGTGAAGTCTTTAAAAGTTTTAAAAGCATCCACTATCATGATTAACGCTGTCAGCCTTTCTCCTTTCAGCTAATTGAAGAACAAAATCTCAACAGATTGTAAACATTTCACCTTTTCTTTGCCACTGACTTGACAGAGTGGGTACACTTACCCCTCTTCTGTCCTCAACAGATCTCTCCTGCTCAGGGAAAAATCTGTTTTCTACTCATCTCCACATTCTTTCCATGTACTATTTTTTTCCCCCCATCTCCAGAATGACAAAATTTAAAGGGGAAAATAAAAAAAAAAAAAAAGAAAAGAAAAAAAGAAAAAAAAAGAGGGGAATATTTAGCCACCATGGCCGTACCAGTGCAGAGATGCTTTGGTCAGACTCTCTAGGCATTTCTTTCAAGCATGCCTTTTCTAAGCTGGTGCAGAAGCAGTGAACTGTGTGCTGGTAGTGAGGCTGCAGTCCTTCAGAAGTGCTGCTTTCCCTCTCAAAATCCCACAACCAGTTCTTCTTTCAAAGGAGCTGTCAGCCATCTGCCAGGTGTGGCTCTGCAGAGCTCCGCAGGCACGCAGAGCATTGCCTATGGCAGTACAACCTCTCTGCCAACCTGCTGCATAGAGGGCTGGCTGGAGGCTTTAATAAACCTGAACAATTAAGTGCTTAACATGAGAAGAAAGATTTATTGTATCAAACAGGTGTATTATTGGTGAGCTCCAAGCCATCTTGCTGATAAAATCTGTCTTTTTTTTTATCACTACATTGTATATTTGCCACAGGGTTACTGGGGGCTGCAGGGCCAACAGAGAGGTCTCTACACACAAATACCACTTGAGGTGCAGCCAGCAAAACACCACAGGCATCTCCTGTTTCCCTCTCTGCAGCCACACAGCTCATACATGCTGCTAACACTCCTTTTACACACAACCACCTGTCAAACAAACGAGGCCAAACCTTAGCTACTGTAAATTGAAGTAAATCCAGAGGGATTAAAAAGTCCAAAGTCATTACAACACCTGAGGTGCTAGCATCAAATGTCACTTGAAAGACTCCAGAAAAACTTCTCATAATGAAATGAATAAAGTAATTTAAAACTCCATTCAAAGCATTAACTAGCTCAGTAACAACCTATTTTCATCTTATAAATAACTATGAAAATATCCTTGTTTGAATACATCAGCAGGCATTCTTCCTACATAGATCAAAAGAATAGCGCAAATACAGCACTACCACACCTCTTCACTTAGTGAGATGACACGTCTCTCAGCTAGCAAGCAAACTTTGTATTTTGTTTATAGCATGTCATAACAATCAAAAATACAACTTTAATATTCTGATGCTATTCAGTAAACAATGCAATTTTTTCAATACATAGTTATAAAAATAGAATGTGCCTCACCCCCTTTTGATTTCTTATGCTAAAGAGTGTTACACACAAATAAACTGATCAATCCAAGTCCACAGTGTTGAAAAAAAGAATACTAAGTTCAGCTTCCCTTCTGCTATACTATATGGATTTTTTCTGCATTACTTTGGATTTTTTCCATGGGAAAGCATCAATTAAGTCAGTGTCAAAACTATTGGTAGATCAGCTTCATGCTCAAGGTCTCAAGTGCTGCAATACTTGAACTCAAATTGTGTTTTTATTTTAAGCTTGAAGAAAAATGCCAGCTGATTGTTTTATAAGAACTTGTTACTGCAAACTCTAATTGAAATCTCAGCTACAGAACTTTTTTAAATGTTAGTAATCGGGTGACATCAGCAGCAATCACACATCATATTGATTTATTGGGCTGCCTGCTGACAGGGCCAGCCACTGCTATGGAGAGCAACATACTTCCAGATTTTCTCTGAGGACAGGATAGCAAGTTCTGGGCTTGAATTAGAAACATTTGGTGAGAAATCTGCACACTAGTGCTGGCCTGTGAGAGAACGCTCTGTTCTCCTCAGTCACTGCACCCGATTCAAACATAATCCACAACAATTAGAAACCTTCGCTGTGGAAGCAGCTTTGAACACACCTGCTCCCAAAGCCATCTCAGCTGGCAGCCACTGACCAGCTTAGCAAGCAAACCCAGCAGTCAGACATGACATCCCAGCTCACTGGGATAGCTTGGTCCACATCCAGGGCAATAAAACTCCCTGATCCATACCTGCCAAATGCACACCAGGAAAATACTCCTGGACCATGGGAAATGCACTGAGGCAGGGAGCTCAGCACTTGAATTTGGCTGGGGCACTGCTCATGCCCTGAGTGCTGCATCAGTAGCCTGATGATTCCTACATAAGCCTCTATACTTAGCAGGTGAGTGGGACACAGAAGGTGGGCACATGGCAAAGTGTGAGGCTGCATTGCGGGCAGCAGGGAGAAAATGTCTCAGTCCTTTCTGTGCTTAGCTTTAGGTAAAGGAAACACAGCCTGCAGAAGTACAGCAAATCTCTCCTTATGTACAGATTTGACTAGGGCAAAGCCAGTCTCAGCAACAGACTCTGCTGTTAGCTACAGAAGCAGTCTGGGAGCTGATGCTAAGATATTTCTCTTTCTGGCTGCTGCAAGCTTGATTCCATATCCACAGCTAGGAAAGACTCAGTCTCTCCTTTCTGAGACACAGAAGGCACCATTTTGCTGCTGTTCATCCACACCAACAAAATGGTGATTCTGGAAGGCACGCATTTCAGACGATGATGTCTCTCTCACCCCAGACAGCTGATTCTTTTGCAGCTGCCCATCTCCTCCTCCTGCAAAATACACGTGAACAGAAGGGAGGAAGGAGCAATCACAGAGAAGCACAGTCACATGTGCCCATAATCCTGCCTCATATTTGCAGGGCAAGGAAGCTAGAATCCAAACATAAGAGCATGCCTCCTAAGACGGAGTTGTACCAAAGAAGCAACTTATTTCATACAATGGGAAAGCTTCTGGCAGGCAGAAAGGAGCTGTGTTCCCCCCTTCATGCATTCATATGACTCCTATTAGTAATGCAGGAAGGAAAAAAAAAGTCATTATTCCCCAAGGTTCACAGGATAGCTGAAGCCACACATCATCTCTGAGAACACAGACGTGCTCACCCTGGCTTGAGACCCTGCAGGGCTCTGCTAAATTGGCCCCTCAGTAAACATCAGCAGCCAGGGCTGCCTGGGAGCCCTTCTGTGGTGCTTTGATCAGCCGCACTGCATGTATGGTGATTCCAGCCAGGGAATCCCCACCTAGCCAGCAAATGGAAAAATTCCCTCCTGTGCACGGTGACTGCTTGCCTGGCTGAATCAAAGGCAGCTATGGCTGCAGGTTTTCTTTACTTGCACCTGAAGTGTCATAACTACTCACCTCCTAGAGGGAAAGGCAAAACATACTCGGTCACGTATGCTGTGGAGGCAGGAGCAGAGAACTTCCCTTCTCAGTGTTCCTCAGAGATTGTTATTTTAGAGCAATGAATTAGTTGTACGTTTTCCCTCCCTTGCTTTATTTAAACACCACATTTGCGTTTTCCTGTTTCTTCCCTGTCAAAACCCATCTTTCACTCCTAAAGCATAAACTAACAGAACTCTGGCTTGTACACAGATGCATACTCTGTAACTAGAAAAGAGTTTGATCCCAAAACTACTGGACACCTCCATTTCATCTCAATTTCAAATGAAATTAAGGTATAGCACCCACAGAGTTTGCCCAGATTCCCCCCTTAAACAAGTAAGTGTCTAGCCAACCAAGCGTGTACTCTACAGAGGAAAGCTAAGAAATAGTCGTACAGCAATTTATATGACATACAATCAATTTAACACTGCCATTTAAGGTGGTCATCCGAATTCCTTCACAGCATACACAAAAAAAGTTCTTTGTAAGACAAATTAACAGAAAGTTAGCATCTTTTACCAGCTGTGCTTTTCAGGTGCGAATCATTATTTCCAAACAGTGACTGAAGAAAAGCTGTTTTAGACTCTGAAATATCCACTTGCTTTGAAGCGTAGGGCAGACTAGCTTAATTACCATTGACCAGTAACTACGAAATAAGGTATCTTGAAATCTTCAGGGATTTAATAGTACTAAATAGAACATGAAAGTAACTTCAATAATAAAACATTTCATTTTCCACCCCTAAGTGACAATCAGAGTTAGTACCATTCAGTATTTGCTTCCAGTTTCTCCAAACTTTCAGTTCTATATTCAGGACAAAGTTGCTCTTTCATTGTTTTTAGCAAGGGAACATGGTCATATAAAGATACACCCAGCCCACTCAGGTTTCCCTCTCTCCCATTTCACTCACACAACCAGCCATCACGCAATCCTACCTTCCCAGTTGCTGTCATCGCACAGTGATGTTAAATCCAGCTGAGGCACTTCAGATACAAAGCTGTTTTCCTGATCATCAGCATCTTGATTTCTTTGCAACTTGTTTTCAGGCATGCTTGGATGCTCTTGAATCTTCATGCTTGAAGTCAGCTATGTTCCCACACACCCAAGGAAATGAAAGAGAAAGGAAAAAAAAAAGTCTCAGGATGTAGAGGGGAAAAAAAAACCCCTTCAAGTCACAGTACCATTAAGCTCATGCCTTTAGCTAAAAAGATCCAAACAGATCCTGATGCTTCCAGCTCCAAATCCAAATCCCTTGCTTGGTGACCCCTGCGTACTAATTGCTCACTCACACCAGTAAAAACATCCGTCCATCTGCCTTCCTTGAATTTTTCCCTCTTTAGAAAGCTACAGCAAGTTCCCGAGACTGCCTGCCCTGACAACTGCATGTAGCTGAGAAAGCTTCCAGTAGTGGAGTGGGATGAAAAGGGAGGGAGGGAAGCAGGGAGGCAGGGAGAAAGGAAGAGGGAAGGGGGTGGCTTCGTATACTTCCTACAGGAGCACAACTCCTTTGAGCAACAACAAAAACGCTGCTGCTGCTGCTGCTGTGAGGCTGTAGCAATATGGTGCCTTCTAAAAAGCAGGCACCAGAGTTCCCGAGACAGCAGCCGCAGCCAGCCAGCAGTGCAGGCTACGTACATGAATGCTCTCATGCAGGCTGTCTGTGCTGGCTCAGATCAATTAGTGCCAGCTAAGCTGTGCTGGCTGCACATTCCCCGATTTCCTGTGGTTATTTTCTAGCTGGGTGTGGGGAGAGCAGAACTATTTATGGAGGAGCTCTGGGTATTAAAGCGGTGTTGCGCAAATCCAAACAGCAGTAGGGTTTGGCATCTCAGCTGGAAGCAGTGTGGACTCTGGGAAAACGCCAAAATATTCACAGAAGCATCCAGTAACAGGAATAAAAAAAACCAAAAAAAACCAGAATTCTGTCAAGTACATGATTCATCAGCTAGTGCTACCTAGAAGCAATTGCTGTTTGTCTCAGCACTGCACCCCCTGCACATACCACACGTCGTGTGCATTTATGAAGAAATCCCTGCCATTCCCACCATCCAGAGACACAGTGCGTGTGTCTGTGACAGCGCCTGATGAGAGTGCTTCTGGCACTCCAAAATAAATTAGCTGTAATGCCTCACAGAGGGCAGTAGGGAAAAGGAAGTGTAATGCATGTACATAAACATGTAGTGTGATATGTATAAACCCACCAACAAACACACGGCTAGATGAATAGACATGATTATGTTACTACATGAACTATTTGGATTTGTTAAGAACATCTTAGGCATAATTCTCTCAAATATAGTCTAGTGGGCAGTCAGCATGCAGATTTTCCCTCTGCAGGTATTTTGAAAATCTAGTAAACATTCCGCATACTCTGATATGGAAAGAAAACGGGACAAAAAAAAAAAAAAACAAACCAGCATTTCTGGATCTATTTTCCTTGTGAATCCAGAAACATGGCCAAATGTTTCAATATCCTTAGTACATGCCACTAAAGCACGTTTACTTTTTTTTATCTACAGAAAGCTAATGATGTGTTTGGTGCATATTTTCCCTTTGCAGGTATTTTGAAAATCTAGTAAACATTCCGCATACTCTGATATGAAAAAAAAACGGGAAAAAAAAAAAAAAAAACAAACCAGCATTTCTGGATCTATTTTCCTTGTGAATCCAGAAACATGGCCAAATGTTTCAATATCCTTAGTACATGCCACTAAAGCACGTTTACTTTTTTTTATCTACAGAAAGCTAATGATGTGTTTGGTGCATATTTTCCCTTTTGAGCAGAGAAAAACAAGTAATTTTCATGAAGAGGGAAGAAAGTTGCCCAGTAGACAAATCATGTGAATAAATGTTTTTAATTGGATTCAGTTCCATCAATCCCTGCAATTGAACAGGGTGCTAAATAATCTCATCTAGGCTTCCTTTCCCACAAAAGGTTGGATTGGGTGATCTTTTGAGGTCCCTTTCAACCTGGGCTGTTTTACTGTTCTAAAAATCTGATGAATACCCTGGTATTTGTAAAGAGTGTTCTGCATTGTATTCGTGTAAGGTGTATATTTCCTGCTCATTTCAATAAATGGCCTTTTTGAAACATTATAACAGAATGAAAAACTAGATGATACTTTGCCAAGCACTAATAACTCATGCAGCTTGACGCTAAATCTGATTACAAATGTGTTTATTGTGAGAGCTGTACGTGAAAAAACGCTAATTCACCATTCAGTATCTTTTAAGCTGCTTCCAGGTTGGGAGGACTTAAATATTTCTCTAAGGTCCATTGACAAATTTCCTGCCAGGATTTAAATAGCCTGTGTACCTCACAAACAAAGACTGGTCAGTGGCCAAATGTACCAGTCTATAAACTGCTTGTAAATTGCCAGCACAGTATTTAAAGGTGATATTTTAAGGCAAGGAAAGAAATAAACCACCGAGTTCCAAAATAGGTGCTATTTTTAACAACAAAGAAATGCGAAGGAGAGGAACATACCTAGATTTTAACAATTTCAGAGGGAGCAACCTGAGAATACCATTTCATCACCACTACTGATAATAATTAGAAATAAATGCCTTTCTATGAAAAGTGTACAATCTCCTGACTTATTAAGACTCTTAAAAGATATCTGTAGCAGATATAAGGCCACTTCCCAGATAGGCAAACATTTCCATTACACATATATTAGAAAGAGCATATCAATGTCTTCTTCCTCCTGAAGTCATTTCAGTAATTGCAAATCTTTACAAGGTGTGTAAAAACAGGCCTGTGCCCTGCTTGCAGCCACTCTCCTTTCCTTGCCCATTGATGTAGGCTCTAATACAATGAATAAATCACTAGGTGTTCTGAAGAACAATGGTGGTACAAACCCAGGAGACTCAAGAAAGCAGATGTTTAACTTCCTTTGCATTAATGCTCCAAACCCATAGAGTGGTAGATATTTAAATATTCCCATCACTTATTTTCTTTTTTGATTTCCTGACACCACCAGCTGCCACTCTCTAGGAAAAGAATCAAATAAGGAAGAACTACTTTGCTTCAGGTATGGATCCACCACAATTTCTTACAAATCAAGGGGGCAACAAGTTGATGATGTTGGTAACAGTTGGCAGTCACAATTCACTGCAGATATTACATAAATGACTGCAAAAAAATCTTCAAAGCAGGTACTTGAATTCTGCTTTTTAGAAGCTGCTTCTGCAGCCATGCTTTGCAGGCACCAGTAACTACAGATCTAAGCAGCCTGGGGATAAGTCAGCTGCATTCATTCATCCTGCTCCAATGGAGATTGAGCATAAAGAGTAGCTCAAACAGCAAGATATAAATGGCAACAAAAAGATTTTTAAATTCTGATCAGGAGGTTTTATTCTGTTTGATTACATATGGACTCCAATCAATTCTACATAAAAGGCTTGCTTCCCCTACATGTGATCTTCCATTACAGCCATGAGCAGGAAGCATCCTTAAGCACATTTTAGGAATACAACCTGATGCAAGAACACAGCCATTCTGCTGCCTTCCCCCTACCTGAGCCATGCCAACACCCTTCTATATGTGTTGCCATGTTGGTATGAACCTTAAATACTTTTCCCTTATCAAAACCTGGTATTAGAAACCCGTGTTTTTCATCCTGGAACTTAGCTACTTCCAAGAGCAGATTATGAAAGTTACAAAACCACAGAAAATTCATCTGAGGCTTGTATTTCAAGGTATTTTTACAGTCTCACGGAGACCCAAGTCAGCAAAACTGATAGCTATAGCAAATTCCAAATCCTTTTCCTAACATTTTTAGACTGGAGGTAGGGTGAGAAAGAGAAAAGAAGAACCTTGTTCCTTCCTCAACCTGAATGAGTTGTTATGAAACATATATCTTTAAGCTGCCCTAAGCAAAAGGCTTATAAGGGGGAAAGAATGTTAAAACAACTCTGCCAGAATGTAACATTTTCTTGACCTTGTAATTCCTATATAATACACAATCTCTGGGTTAAGATCCTCTCCTGTGGTTAAAATGTTACACTTTAAAACTTTTCCTAAGGTGTAGTTTATTTTAAAGTTATGATTTCATATTTAAATGTATCTCCACCAGGCTAATTTAAAAGCTTAATAGAGTACTGGATGGCATGGCAGCAACAGCAGCTTTTCCACATGCAAGTGGGTACATGAGGAACAAGCTCTTGCAAAATCTAGGTTCTGTAAAATACAATGGCTCGCAAGCAAGTGCAAGGGATTACTGACCCTTTGGGAGCAAGGTAGGAGATCCATGTTAGCCCAGTCAGAGCAGTGATCAAAGGCAGCCCTGAACACCCTTTGCAGGGGCTACATATTTCAGGATCCCACAGACTTAACCAGTTACTACACAGCTGATCAGAGCTTAGCTGTTAGCAACCTTTTACCTTTCCTGCTAGGTGGAAATAGTTCCTACCAGAAATGAAGACTTTCAAAGGCAATAAATGAATAGTGGCTTTTATTTCTAAAAGAAATACAAGAAGAGTAATTTAAAAATACTACCAGCTTTCAGTCACCTCCAGACAGCCAGAGAAATCAGACAGTGGCTACAGCTGCTCTACTGTGCCCATTTTAAATGGATGCACAATTGAGGGAGAGGTGCCTTAGATAACTCTCCCCAGTATTTCAAATGCTTGGGTCTCTAGAGGTCTTTTAAGTAAACCCAAATGAACAGGTGACAGCAAAGGGGTTCAACCTAACCCAACCCCAATCTCTGAAAACATCATAAAGCCAGTGCAAGAAGTGTGTGTGCATGTCTGTGTAAGAGAAATGGAAAGTTGAAGGAAAAACTGCTGCCATCAACATCACATCTCCCCTCCTGACATCCATCCCAGCCATCAACTTTGAAAAAAGCAGGTGATCCAGTTTTCTAAGACAAATGAATTAGAGACACCTATGTTCAAGAGCAACAGGTTGCATTAGGAAATGATAAATAAAAGGCCAAATTATTTTAGAGAAATCAAGAGAGACAAGCTAATCTCACTATCCTGGCAGATAAGCAGTCAGGTGTCCTCTTTGCCATAATTAATAAGGGAACTTCACTTCACTTAAAGCACAGTGCTGACTTAAATGATCCTTCCCTTTTTGGCAAGGAGGGATCAAAGGGACTGAAGCAGAAGCTATCAGACTCCCCAGTGGTTGAGCGTCTCCCTAAACTATGTAAATAAAAAGCAGGGGTTAGGGACAGAAAAAGTACATGCTAACTCCATTTATCTTGTGAAAAACAAAACTATATGCATAACTACTTGTTTCTGCTCAATAAATGCTCATTAAGAGACCACAAAACTGAAACACAAAAATAAAAATAATAATAAAAAAAAAATACTAACCTGAGAATGCTTGAAAAAAACCTCATCGTTTTCACTTTCTTTGCTATAAAAAAACAAAACCAAACCAACATATTACAAACACAAAACCAGACTTTTAACAAAGCCAAGCAGGACTTCTGCACACAAAGCTTTTTCCATTCTTGCTAGTCCTGCACATTCACTAAATCACACAGTAAATTAAGGGACTCTCTGGGCTGCAGTACTTCAAGCTCCTAAAGTATGCATTTTTTTGCTTCCTCTCAGGAGCTATTTGAGAACAATTATGTCATTTAATTCCAGTGCACTACTAATTCAAACCAATACAACTATCCAAACAAATGCTGTTGAGAGAAATTGTCATCTCAGGTGTGCAGAGTGAGGCTGCACAGCTCTCAGAGAACACTGAAGCACAAGGGAAAGGGCTGGATTCCCAACCCAGAGGCCAGATGAGACAGGCCCTGCATTCCTGTGTGGAGCGTGCTGGTTCAGGTGCTGCACAGCTGATTTCTTTTCAAGTCTGCACCATCAGCACCTTCAGTGACATTCCTGTCAGGCTGGGAAAAGAGCCATGGTGGCATTTGCTGCAGGGCAAAGCCCACACAACACACTAAGTGCCTCCATGAAGCTCTGCTTGGAAGTTAACATGGTGGGTAATCTGTTCTGCAGCATACATGTCACCCCCACAGGCTGGGTGGGAGATCTCTCAGGTTGTACTACAACCACAGGGAAAGGAAAACTTATATATATGCATAAATTAAAATTAAAATTACCTTTCTTCAAATAAAATTTCCATGTCATCAGCTGGTCTGTCTATAGGTTTGGAAGAGCTAAAGCTTTCCGTACTCTGCAATACAATAAATATTAAAGCAGTAGGATATATACGAGAAACAGATTCAAGCTGCAGGCCATTAAACAGATCAAACACAGAAATAGCCAATAGGATTTCTAGGAAAATGGTAACACACTACTGCCCACTAAACAAACCCCACAATTATTGTCCCATAAACTGCAAGAAAACCCAGCTGCTCACTCCTTTGTCTCTTTCATCAGACAACCTCCAACGTCAGAACAGAATAATGTTGCATGGTACCCTATCTGCTCCTGTTTCACAGACTGACAGACAGCCTAGGCTTGGGAGCAATTTCTTTGGTCTGTGCAATTCTTGTAAGAGCAGGTACCAAAATCCACAGCAACCTCTCAGCAGAACTCCTTTATGTTCATGTTAGAAAATCCTCTACTTCTCAGCCAAACCCTTCCTTAGTTTCTTCGTAAACAAGCATAAGAATGAAAATACACTGCATGGATGTAATGCTGGGCTAATATGAATGCAGGGTAAGCAATCCAACTGGTTATGTTAACCTGTTCTCCTGAAATTTGTCTTGGCCACCATTAAGAACATTAACACTGTTGAGTAGTGTGAGGACAAGCCATGTGGCCACTTCAAGCACATGTCCAGGAGGCTTTCTACCCTGGGTTTTGGGGAAGTCCCTCTTACATAGGAGGAAGTGGGTTCCTGCCCTGGAAACTACATACACAGACTTCTTGGGGCAGTGACAGCCTTCTCTCACCTGCTACACCTCCAGCCCCATATGGTGACACAGGTCAGTCATTCCAGCCTTGCCTAATTTGATTCTTCAAGTCCTACTGATACCTGGCTACCATGTCCCTAAAATGCAGTTACAAGCTTTCAATGCTTTGTGGTTGGTTTGCCTGGGAGTCTAAGTGGAAGTGACTGTTTCCCCACCGCTGACTTGTGCTTTTGAGCCAGATGCGATCAGACAGCTAAGAGGAAAGCTTCCCCACACTGTCCTATATACTCTTTCAGGCTTTGAAAAAAAGGAATACTCAGGAAAGGGTGTTTAAGGAGAGACAACATCACAAACTTTTTTACATGACAAAGGTCTATTCATAAATGCTAAGGTGTATGTTATGTTATCCTCCTTGTTTTGATCAAAAAGCAAAATCCACCTCTCTCTAGAATCTCTTCACAGGGTAAGAACATTAGATCATTGCAATTTTGTGATCTAAACAAAATGAGCCCAAAAACAGGTCACATTAAAAACTTGCTTTCAGCAAGCTCCAAAACTTAATCAAGCATCACTGAAGGAAATGCCCTATGGGGTCAGGACAGTGTTTTCACACAGCTCTTGAAGTTCCTGTTAACCGTGCAATGCATGCTTGGTGCAGGCACAGTGCTTCTGCCATTGCACGCAGACCCTGCGCTGAAGCACAGAGCAGTTTCTCAGCTGCTGACACTCCAGTCAGTGCTTGCCCTGGCTGAGAGGGAAGGAAGGTAACCCAGTTTTAGTCTACAGCTTGTAGAAGTAGGCAAACTGTCCTCTGATGTGAAAGTCACATGAGAATATGCTGGAAAAATTCTACAGTATTCCAGATTTTTATGACGTTATAAGGAAGTCATCAATGTCTTCAGTAAAAGGTGGATAAAAGAATCACATTTTTGACCAACACACTTCTAAGTGCTTTCCAAATTGCAAAAACACAGGCTTTAGAGAAATGGCAAAAATATCTTTGCCATCTCATTATCAAGTAGTCACTTCAAATCTAGTTTCAGAACTTAGCAGAAATATGAAAATAAACTTGACCTGAATATGAGAACCTACATTTAAGGTTCCAAACTCCTTGCAAGGCTTTTGAAAGACTAGGAAAAAGACCTATATCCTTTTGTGCTTTCCAAAATGCTTCACCAAATTCAAAAGAAAAAAGCAAATACTTGCAGAAAGAGAAAATGACTGCATGGAGTATCATAGTAGAAATACAGCTTCTCAGTTGCCACATCACAAGGGTTACAAGTGTCAGACCCACTGTTTTCCTTAGTCCAAAACAGGCACTGAGGCTTGTACTGCAGGCAAAAGTGGCTACCTAAAGGAACCAGATGTGCAATAAAATAAAAAAAAGAGCTTTTCCCATCCTAGTCACAGACATCAAACAGTGCAGTATGCTGGCTTACCACAGGACTGTCCTGGTTGTCATTAAGCTCTGAAAGCTTGGTGCTGGATTTCTGACGTTTTGATTTATTCCTTTCACTAAGGTATCCGGAGCTGGTGTCTTGTAATTTTTCTACATCTTGAGCAGCTAGAATACAGTCTTCAAGACTGCTGAATCCAGAGGGAATGTTTTCCTTGTTGACAACTTCCCTAAAAAGAAAAGGGACATTACAGCAAGAGGTTAAAAGGCCCTCTTGCTACATTTATGGTAGCAATAGAGAACTACATCATAATGACTGGTGCAGTTCTGGCAACACCATATATTCCCAATGAAACCACTATTTCTGGTTCTTCCCAGTCCAGACAAAAACACACATTGTGCAATGCTAAATCCCACTGAGGAGCAAAAGCCAATTGTATACACCTCAGGTGAGAAAGCTGTGAGGATCCATGTTTGGGATTTGATTCACTTGCCACTAAACCAAACACACAGAAGCCTTCACATGGAAGCTGGACTAGCCCCTGGCTGCCTGTGGAATTTCTGTAGAGAGAATGAAGCATATTTTCCTTTGAGACATGAGCTTTTAATTTAGTAAAGTGATTCACAGCTGCGATCCAGGGATCTCCTTTGGTGCATGACACCGGATAATTGGCCCTCTTATTCACAACCCTCAAATGCAAGAGCAGGACTGTGTGGTGCTTTAGTAAATGCTTGATTTCTACTTGGGAATTACACAAAACATAAAAGGGAATGCACCTCTGCAATGGTAACACAACTGCTAGGACAGAGGACTGTTTTACTATGTTGGGAAGAGGATGGGACAGCCAGCCCTATGTCACCACGTGATGCTGGGACTCTCTGGGCTTGCAGGCTTTGTGCATATTTACCAGAAACCTGGCATATGGCTTATCTTGCCCTGTTGCATCCTTCAGCAGGCAGCTTTCCATTTACCACTTGTTAAGGAGTCCTCCCCCTCCTTTGCCCAGCAGTGAAGATGCACATACACACCACTACACCATGGGATCAGGAGAAACACAAAGTGTCTCATTACCCTGCCAGAGGCTAAGGGCAGCTTGCTTACACTTGACACTGAAATCACAACATTACTAACTCTGTGTGGCTGTCTTACACAGTGCTGTGCAACTCCAAAGTCTGCTTTCATGAACAGCAGGAGAACTCATCTAGACTTGACTGGTGTGATAAGAAACCAGTTACTCTGCAGTATCTGGACAGTGCCAGCATGGCAAGTATTCAGAATAAAAACAAAACTAGAAAGTTCTAGCAACTTTTTAGATGACAGATCTCTAGGTTTTGTTGGTGGAAAAGAGATACAAAGAGGTATGATAAATCTCTGACTAAACTTCTAAGATAACACATTTGCCCTTGTGGAAGTTTTTACAGACCCCTCAGCAGATCAATTACACATTCAGATCCTGTAGATCATGTAATTTTCAAAGCCTGGGAGTTCACCTCTGTGATTTTGTGATAAACACTCTTCCTGCCTGTAGTCCCGTTTTGTGACATTACAAATCCTCTTGTGATCTATCACAAGACAAGGAGATGAAGTCACTAACAATCAAAAAAACAAGAGAAAGATGTTTTGAAAGGAATTCTCAGTTTTAATAATTTACCTGGAGAAATCCCAGCAATCTGACCTAAGGGAAACAGGGAAAACAATTTGGACCACAGCCAGCACTCAAAACTTCAAGAAAATCCTTGGCTCCAGCTTTCTGGACCGAGTCTGAATAACTGTGTCAATCATATCTAGAGGCAGCTCTGTAACGCAGCGTTGAAGAAAAGCCCTGCAGTGCTATATGCTTCTGAACATGTACAATAGCCAGTCTCTGACCTACTTACCTGAGAAGCCTATCAGCAGGGCTACTTAACAAGAAAAACTACTTTAGAGCTGCTGCCAGATACTTTGGTGACTTGCAAGTGCCAATTTACCAGGCCACCTTTACAGCGTATTTTGATTCCCTATGAAAATGGTGCCTATTTTTTTTTTTTTATTTTTGTAACTCCAGATTTTTTTGTACGTTTTTTGTACATCAGCACTGACACATTTACACATTTTGGGAAATACCATGGATGCCATATTAACATGAGGTATTGATGGCTATGCACCTGTATAAAAGTAGCTTCATATAAGAAGGTACAGATCCAATAGAATTTGGGGAATTCAGCACCCAGGAAACAACAACAGAAGACTAGATGTTTATTTTGTAATCAACTTCAAATCCTAGCAATCCAACACTGCAGTGAGGCATACAAATTCTTTACAAGAACTAGTGCTGTGTTACAGATAAACACAGAAGTTGATGGTGGCCTTGCAAAGTCTGTGGTACACTTTCTCAAATACAGCTGTGCCTTGTGTAACAAGTTTGTTAAAGCTGCAGTGATAATACATTTGTACCACACAATATATGTCACAACTAGAAGAGTATGAATGAAAAAACAGGTATTATCTTTATGCTTTGACAGACATTTAAGGAAATTCACTACTAAATCATGTTTAAACTTTGCGTAATAGGCTGGATACAAAAAATAGATTCTGATTAATCAAAAGGAAGATTCTTCTAGTTTTGGACAAACTCCCAAAACTTCTCACTAAACCCAAACACAAGTTGTGCCTCCACACACAAAAGAGGAACTTCATCTTATTTTATGTCTCAAGATATGCTGAATTCAGAAAAGCAGCTAGGCCCAATGTTTTTATCTAAAAGTTAAAGGCAGAAGAATCAACTGTTTGGGAATTTCCACTAATGCAACAAATACTGTAAGTAACCAATTCCAAATACTGTAAGTAACCAATTCCAAATACTGTAATTACAAACTTGACTGCATAACCCCCTAGATTCTTATTATGCTTTGCTCCACTAGTAAACTCTAGTAAACTCTAAATCTAGTAAACTCTAAATTTCCCAGTTCTGACTAATGCTCTGCATGGGCACTGCAGCCAGGACAAAGGTCAGTGCCTTTCATAACAGAACATAGCATTGTCTCAATAAGAAGACATGACTGGGGTAGACTTAAATATACTTTCCAAAACAAGGAAATCAGGCTCCTACATGTCTCTGTTTCTCCGGGCTTCCTCCTGCTCTTTGTGTTGTCGCCTCCTCTGCCTGGCAGACACATTAGAAGAGGCTGAAGACGTCCCGGATTCAGAGTCCTCTGAACTCTGGCCGCCTGAGCCATGAACATCAAAGAGATGCTGCTCCACGGCTGAACGGATTGTCTTCTCTAAATACCTGTCAAGCAGAAAAATAAGGTCAATTGAACTCAAAGATTTTGTGGAGCTCCCTCTCTGCAACAATAAATAAAACAAAGGTATCTGTGGGTTATGTTTGCTTAGGATGGCAGCACAAAATGTTCCAGTGCTACGACATATGCAAGCAATGCCAAAATTTTCAGATATCCGCTGGTTCAAGTCCCTTGGAATAGCTGAGCTTTCCCAATTAATATTGCTCTTTTTATTTCTAGGGATGTATGAAATTTGAGTAAAATAACTAATTTTACATACTGCAACTACAGACATTGGTACCTAACTTTCATCCTCACTGAAAAGCCCCTGCTGTGACAAAATTGCAACCCAGCCATGCTGGCAGGGGTCAAGTCTGTTGTGCAAAACAAGTTCAGTAAGGCAATGGATCACCTGCAAGAAGATGATTCACTGCTGTCTTAGAGGAATGACAATATGCAGTTGCTTACTACAAACTCCTCACATACATTGTGACCAAGCATGGGTTTTGTTCTGAGTTCATGCCATTTTTACACATTCTTGGGCCACATTCCTGTGTATCCACAGCCACCCTGGCACTGTGTGAGACCACCCTCACACTCTATGGCACTACGACAGCTTCCACAAAATCCACCACAAGAGAGTCCCTGAAACTGCATCAGTTAAAGGTATGGGACTACTTGAACTTTCAACACAAACAAATTTTCTTTTTGGTACTGCCATTCTCTTGTAATATTCCCTTCCTTCCTTCATCAGAGGAAGCTTTTATGGGAAAAATATTTTTTTTCCAAAGAGATCACATAGAAGCACATTTTTGTATACATCTCCATCCCATCTCTTGTTTCTTGAAATGCTTTAAGCAGTCACTGAAGAATGTTTTTTTCGAACATGCATGCCCAAAGTCTACTGTTTTTTCCATAATTAAAATTTTGTTTCAAGATTTACTGGTTAATTTTCAACTGAGTAGCTACAGTATGGGACTCTGTACTTGGGCTCATTTCTCCTTTACAAGAGCTGTGCTAAGTTCCTATACTTGAAAGCCAGCTGAGACTGCAGTTCCTGGAAAAGTTAGAAGACCTTTGCAACTGCAAAAGTCCAGATGGTTTAACTAGGCAAGTATGTCTGTATTTCACTATTGATAAAGATCAGTTCTGCAAACCCATCAGCCATTGGGAATTCCCAGCTCCACAAAAGGAGCCAACTCATTTTAGCTCTGCTCCTCCCAGTTACAGCAGTAGGGTCAGGTCACATCCTCTGCTGGGATGCAACAGGGAGCAAACAAGAGCAAGAAGACAACATTGCAAAAAACTTCTCAAAATATGCAAGTTCTGCCTAAGGAAAACATCACAGGCACAGTGAGCAAAGAACCAAGGGCATGAGAAGTTTTCAGAAGGAAGTGATTTATTATCCTTGTAAATTAATTGCTTTGGGAAACACTGTCTCTTTTTTTTTTTTGTTTGTGCAAGAACAACTCTTAAAGAGAAATAAAAGCATAACCAGCAATATTTTAAAAAGCTCCAAGAAAGATAGCTACAAAATTGTAAAAGACACTTACTCTCCTGTAGCAGGAACGTTGCTACTGACTTGTGATACGTGGGTACTGTATAAAAGGGAAAAAAAGAGAAGAAAGGTAGATCTTATTATCAAAATAAGGTCTGAAAATCTCTTGCTCTTTGCAGTGCTAAGATTTAAAGGTCTGAGCTGTCTCAACAACGGTGTGCACATGTCACAGGTTCCCTTAAGGGAAATTTTCACTCCCACTGTGATGTGGCACATTTTAACAAGTCAATATCCTCAACCATGAATTTCCCTGTCATTCCCATTAAATAGGCAAAGGTCTAGCAGCAAGTATTTCAACCTCAACATGTTACAGATTTTTTCTTTTCATGTGGGTTTTCTGATGATGATGTTTTAGCCTTATGACAGCAGTCATTGCCTTTTGAAGCTGACTTGCAAATGTATACACTTAATATTTAACTGCTCTGTTTAACTATTCTCTCTTTGAACATGCTAAAAGAACATATTTATATTCTTTACTTCACATTAAAAAAAATAAAATCTACACATACTTCTCTCCTTTTTACCTTGGTCTGTTATCAGGCTCAGCAAGAGCTGACACAAATGTAGATATTATCACTTGCTGTTCAAAGCCCTTCTGAACAAGCTGACCTGGCAGAGGTGTCACTGCTTTCTTCCCTCTGCCAAGTCCCATCCTGCCCCTTTTTCATCCACTGACTCAGCCTTGCAGATAAGGTGACACTGCCTATTCATCCTTTCTGTGACCTCCCTTAAGTCAAATCAACTACAGGCCTAGGGGTTTCATTTCAAATTATCTTTGTATCAGCAGAGAACAACTGGCTGATAAATCCCAGTAAAATGTAGTCAGCTGGATGCAAAAGCCAAGCTGGATACAAAATATTCTTCCTGCACAAATAGACACTCACTGTTTTCAGTCTTCACCAGTTTCTCTCAAATAATTTCATTCTAGAACCATCAACAGCTGATTTGCCTTTGCTACCCAAAGATTTCCTCTCTTTTTCCCTTGAATACTTTGCACTTTATGGGGTTAGAGCTAGCTGAGAAGCTGCAACACTCTCAGATAACCACTGTGTGGCTTTTCTGGGTTTCAGTGTCACTTGAGCAGAAGGCAGGCAACAGAGGAAGAGAAGGATAAATGAGGGGTCACTACAGCTATTTTAACAAAACCAACAAACAGTGTGACTCCTCCTCACAAACACCCAGCTGCAAGCTTGCAATGTGCTTCAGGCTGAGCCGGTGTGCTCACCTGGCTCTAACCACACACACATCCCTGCCAGTCCCAGCTTCACTCAGTGCTACTCTCCAGTCCCAGCACAGGTCACCGGAGTGATGGCACACCAGGAAAGCAGTCATGGACTTGCCAGTATGTTCCACATTACCTGAGCAGGACCTGAGCGGTTGTGTCATTCAGATAATTTCATGAAGACACGCAAACAACTATTACTGTACCTATTGTTACAGATAAAATATCTGCATACAGGAAACAAAATCTGTGAGATCACACTCTTCTCACATCTAACATCTTGACTATTAACTACAGGATGGCATTGGAATTTGAAGTGCACATTTCAAGCCCCCTGCTTGCCTTCTGCTTTTCTTAGAGGAACTATATGGCCTCTTCCCAGCCCAAAACTAGTTTTTAAGACCTGGTCTCCCATGGAGACATATTAGCGAGTAAGGTGCTAGTGCGCTAATGTGGGCTAACCCATATTATAAGATACAACTCAAGTGCTTGCTACAGCTCCTACACCCATGGGAGTAGATTAATGCTGTATCACCTTTTTATTGTATCTACATGCAAACCAAGTTGAATGAGGTTGCCTTCCACATCACACTTTTCTTCCCCGTTTTTATGCCAGGAAAGTGGTAGTGGAGAGGAAGAAAGGATTGCTTGGATTTTAGCTTTTTTAAAACATCCCTAGGATATAGTTTTTTCTACCAATAAAAATTTTTCTAACACCTCAGTACATTCTAATTCACAGTTAACTGTGCACTTTACTAACATAAATTCAGTTTTAAGTACATTACCCTAATTTTTAATGATGTGTAACAATTAATTTACTGCATCTAGAAAAGCCCTACTCAGACAATACAGATTCTGTAAGAAAGACAGTAACATGGTGATTTTCAAACTACTGACAAATAACAAGAAATATGTATCCTTTACATGCCAGCTGAGTGGATGACTACAAAATGAAGGTCTGATATTCTGATTTTATTGTACTCAGCCCAAGTTTATCCTTAGCTCTGTGATAAGTTAATGCTCTTTTATTAGCCTCCCCTCAATAAGACAGAGATTTTAAATCAGAGTTTTTCTAGATACACTAACTTCCTTTTAATTCCACAGTTGGTAATTTTTCTGGCTATTTCATTTTGAAGCTTAATTTAAATGTGTTGATAAATTGTTTTAGTTACTCTCCACCAACAAATGGTGGAGGGGAGAGAGTTCCACAGTGGTTTTAGGACTGGAGCCTTCTGCAGGACACAACAGGCGGTGCAAGAGTACGTTGGCAAACACAGCCAAAGACACTACCCTGCAAGGATTTCAGAGCCCAGACAAGCAGGCAGGCAGGCAGGCAGGGTGTATCCTGTGAGGCTTTCCAAACTTTTTGGGTGGCAGAAGCCACTCTGCTGTTGGATTTCTGTGAAACAGGCAGGGCGAGCCATGCCTAGAAGAACCCTCTTGGCGTGCCTGCCTGTGCAGGCATCTGCCTTGCTTGGTAAATCATCTGGACAATGGGAACTCATGTTCTGCTTCAGTTAATTATTTTCTCCTCACATCTGCTCCATTTCACTGATACGTACAATCAATGATCTGCACGGCTAGATTATCTTTATTAGATTATGCAGCTGCTGTTGCAGAACATGCTGAGAAATACCAACTTTTCATAGAAATTACAGTTGTCCTCAGGTGACTGAGGGCAGTAGGACGGCATCCCAGTGCTGGGGGACATTTATTTTCAGAAAGCCAGCCAGAAAACCTGCACAAAGGCACACAACTGTTTTAAGCACTATGAACTTTTGAACTGGATTCTCATGACCCTCATGCTTTTCCTTCTGGGAAGTCTGACCTCCAGCACTTCCCAGTTTTGTCTAGCTTGTTTACTCAAGTCTTTTTTGCTCACTTTCAGAGGTGCTCTAACAGCTTTGAATAATGTCTTACTTCACACAAAAGGCAAACTCTTACTGTATGGCTTCCTTTCTTCTGTTTCAGCCTCAAGGTCGAGAAGGTGCCATTTTCCATCGTCATTAAATCTCACCTGCACCCCCTAACTAGTACTCCCTAAGTCTAAAAGATCTGCACCAGAGTGAGAATTATCTTATGTAATGCCTGCAGCTTGTCTGGTCTGCCTTGGGCATCTTATGATAGCAGATGCTGGATATCAGTAAGTTGGATATCAATGCCCTTTCTCCTGATTTCTTTCATTCAAGCCACTATTGAGCAAAGCATCTTAGCATCTAGACAAAAACAGCAAAGAAAAAACATCAAACAGAGCAAACTAGGAAACTGATGTACTGGTATAGTGTTTTCCCTGGGTTTTCATTTATGAAATAATTTAATTAATTTTTGACAATACCTAATGGCCTAATTAATAAACTATATTTGCAGTCTGGTATTGAAGTCACCTGTTGCTGAAATGTACTTACAGTCCATCTGCTTTATTCAGGAAACAAAGATGGCTTTTGTTCTTGTTTCTGCTTTTTTAAAAGCCAAGCACAACAGTAAGAAAGCCTCAATAGATGCAAAAGCTTTTTACCATTTTGCTATGCAAAGTTGAGGATGTTTAAATGGCCTTGACATAACACATGGGAAATTCCTGATGGCCTTCAATCCCTGATCTAGGGATTCAATTCCTGATCTAGGAAGTTTCAATTCATAGGTATTTATATGGTCTAAATGCTATCCACTCTCCACACTGTGACATACAATACTGCAAACTCACGTGGGATCCATTTCAAGACAGCTACTCTATTTGACACACTTTCACCAAAGAGAAGTGTTGTGATAGCATACAGAATGTGAAAATAATGAGTTTAAAGACAATACAAAAGGCGCGTGCTCTTAGTTACTGGGATGTCCCATCACACAGAGGAGATGCTTTCATTATTTTCTCACCACCTTCACACTTTCACAAGCTCAGATCAAATTATTCCTCCTTTAAACGTGGTAAATTATTTTTTACACTGCTTTGTTACTACGCAGAAAACTAACCCCACTAAAAGCAACTCTATTCAGTATTCCTAATCCTGAATAGTTTTTCACTTGCATCTCTCCTTTATGACAGATGCACGTTGACACCTACTGCTTGGAGCAGAGACAACCCTGCAGGGGATTCATAGAGGCCCCATGATTCAGCTTGGTGAATTTGCATGGCTGTGTCTGTGCAGACTCCCCTGCAGAGCAAGGAAATAATCCCCAGGGAGCCTCAGACCTGCATGGCAGCCGGGCACCCAGAGCAGGGACACCCAGTGGCCTGGTGGCTACTTTCAGCCAGTGCAGGTGTGATGGACATGAACAAGCATCACATTTGTGATGGAGCCCAGCATTCCTGTGGACTCAGGACCTCTTATGGCACGTTCCTTCAGTGTGAAGGTGGCCAAGCAAATTTCTGAACAGGTGTGAAATCCAAAGCAAAGTTTTACAGTTTCTTCAGGAAACTGACCTGAAAATAAGCAGCATAAAACATCTTACTCAATAAACTTCAGGGTAAGAATACCTGACCTGCATTATTTCAAAAGAGTTGTCTCAAACAAAAACTGTTAAAAGGAGAAACAGTCAGTTGTTCTGAATAATGCTCGCAGGAGTACTTCCAGGAAAAGAACCAGGCACAACTGTCCAATGCCTCACTCATGGGTATTAGTGCAATCTTTGGCATTGCTTGTGAGTTTAGGTCTCATTGCAATTTCATTTTAATGCTCTGAATGTTATCAAAGCTACACACTACAAAGCTGTTGTTTTTCTCCCCTGTAATACCACTCTGGTTTATCTCAGGACAGTCCCCTCAGGTAGCTCCTCTGAAAGTATCTACATAACTAACGTCACATCTGAGGCACACAGGC